GGAAGGATCCACCACCTTCTCCCTTCTCCCCCTCCTCCTCCACCAGCTTCTCCCCTCCTTCTCCACCGCGATTACATCTGATTGGTTATAACACAAACCACGTGACAAAATATGCAAATTATCTGCACCCGGCAGTTGATATGATATGACTACTAGGCACTAATAGGATATGACTACTAGGCACTTAAAAAAAAAAAAAAACCTAACCTAAACCCTAAACCTAACCCTAACCCTAACCCTAAAAAAAAAAAAATTATTTTAATTAAAGTGCCTAGTAGTCATATCATATCGCATCTAACTGCCGGTTGCAAATTATCTCCTGTACCGGCCTGAATATAGACAAACCCCGTGCGAAAGGCAGCCGGCTGAAAGGGGTGGTAGGATATGTTTACTAGGCACTTCTAATTTTAACATATATTTTAAATTTAATTATGGTTAGGGAAAGGGTTAGGGTTAGGGCACTTTTTAGGGTTTTTGCATCATTCTTTAATATATCGTAATTGTTAAAATTAGAAGTGCCTAGTAAACATATCCTATCACCCCTTTCAGCCGGCTGCGGTTGGAAGATGGCGCTGTGGCGGCAGATAGATGCGATATGATATGACTACTAGGCACTTAGGATATGACTACTAGGCATAGTAGTCTATAAAAAAACCTAACCCTAACCCTAACCCTAAAAAAAAAAATTAAATTAAATTAAAGTGCCTAGTAGTCATATCATATCGCATCTTTCTGCCAACACCCACTTTCATGCCAAGCGCTATCCAGATTATATTATAGAGATCAGTGGTCCGGGTCCGGGTTTTATGCAGGTTTTCCGGGTCCGGGTCCGGGTCCGGATCCGGGTTTTATTTACACCCGCGTTGGCGCGCTTTCGTATAGCGTAATAGCGCTTGGCCTATCCGCGCTTAACATGAAAGTGACGCCACAGCGCCATCTTCCAACCACTCTCTAAGGCCAGCAGTAGTTTGCTATGAAAAATATCGACTCCATACATTGATTCATGATAACGTTAAATTTTACCAAGCCATTTAGATTTAGGCCCTACCATAGCCTATAAGCATATAGCCCTACAAAGCATTTGCCAAGCCTATTAATTACAAAGCATTGTCGATCTGTGCGCAAGCTACATGCATGCAAGTCTATATAATTATTATATCGCATTTCGTTACAATTATGAGAGAGTACACGTTTAAAAATATATTTGCTTGAAAAACAATGATTTTATTGCCTTTCTGAAGTAGGCCTATTGAGTAGGCCCCCTAACTATAACTAAGAGCACAATTTTCCGTTACCCCACAACGTCGCGCGAACTTATATACGATACACGTATCTTTGCCGTCGGTCGACGCCAGTGCAGCGCACTGCAAGTAGTGTATGACGGATATGCAGGGCTGCCAACATTGGGTGATAGGCGAGAGTGAGATGCGAGGGAGCGAAGCCACCGAATGGGGGGTACGTGTGGGGGGTAGGGAGCTTTTGCATTTTATAACTTCAATTTGTGCAATTTGGTGCATACTAAAGTGACAGTTTTCAGATATTGTAAGATTTTTTTTGCTGTGCATGAGATATTTGAGCGTTTTATTCAATGCATGAGATATCTCGGCATTTTTTTTGCTGTGCGTGAGATATTGTAAGATCAGCGTGAGAGCGTGAGTCTCACGGTCAATGCGTGAGAGTTGGCAGCCCTGGGATATGCTAAACAAAATAAATACATATTTAATTTTCATGAAAATATACACCTCTACTCTAGGCTCTATTAGTCTATACGACAAACATATTATACGGATAAGTAGTTTGAATGCCAGCCGTTTATAATTATAAGGCACTAAATGATCCAACCCCATTGGATAGTGTCACTAGTGTGTGCGCATGCCAACTACCTGTTTAAAAAAAACGTTTGCTTGCAAATATACATTTAAAGTAGAAAGGATATACTCGGAAGCAGTATTATATGAAAACCCTTGGTCAAATTACCTTCTTAAATAATGAGTTGTATAATATTGCAAAGAAGTAAGTTTACGCTTTCCATCAATTATGCTATAAGATCAATATCCAGAGGTTTACAAAGAACAATATCACCTTTGACGGTTTTAATAAAGATATCAAATTAAGAAGACACATACACAGTTGCAAGTCTGACATCACTCTGGGTAGGCTTTCCGGGTATGCCGAGACACATTGTGTTAGAGGGGGAAATAGGACGTAGGAAGAGAGAATGGGGCCGGGAGGAAGAGAGATAAGGGGAGAGGGCAGGGCAGAGGAGATGGGGATCGAGGAGGGGAGAAAATGAATGAGAGGCGACTAAAGGGCAAGAGAGCTGGAGGGAAGCGAGCAAGGCTGTACACAGGAAATTTTCAGTGGGGGGCAGTAGATGAGAGAAGACTTAGACCAGAGCGAGCTACCCCTGGAAACATTGTTATGACCCCGCCTGGGTCATTTCTGTGGGGGGGGACAAGGGAGGCAAGTGCCCCCCCTGCCCCCCCCCCGCTATGTACGGCCATGGAAGCGAGGGTGAGGGCTATGCAGGAGAAGAAGGAAGGAAGGAAGAGGAGATCATATGGATGGTGGTGGAGCAGTGGCACAGAGTCGCAACACAGCAAATCCTTTTTTTAATTACGAACGACGATTTCTTGCATCCAGGGGACAAACAATACCATAATTTTTTATGACTTAAATTTATTTTCAGTATTTTGAGAGTAAAGTACGAAGAACTGACAGAATATCACTACAAACAGCGGCCGGGATGCCTTGCCGAGACATGAACTCGAACAAATCATGTTCACACTTGGGAAGTCACAACCAAGCTATCTTAATTTGCAAATGGGACACCATATGTATTGCTAAAGGGGCCGACAACAGTGAAAAGATGAGAAACTGAAACCCTAAAACCCTTCTTTTTTTCTGCGCATATGTACGTAACGTTATACGGTACTGCTGACGTGTAAACTATGAACATATGGCTTCAAGATCATACATATCCGAATAGAACATATCAACAGTATAACGTATGTTGTCGAATGTGTGGTACCGACACAATGCAATCATTGCATCACAACTGCTCATCAAGAATGTAAGCTTAATCACATAGGATTAGCACTTCATCTTATCTTCGTCAATTCGATAAACCTGTGTCAAGTATTTCGCTATCTATATACGCTAACCTGAGTAGTTGCTAATTTACGCGACAATATATTCATCGCCTACATGGAGATCACAGCTAGCCTACTGCAGACTGGCGTGCCTCAGTTCCATAGCAAACATAATATTAAACTTCCAGCAAGTGTAAAACTCAGTCGTGTCGAAAAGCTAAATATATGAAATACAAGACATCACGTGTAGAGAGTAGTTTCTCCATCACTATATCGATAGTTTGGCATGAAGACCACAGCCATCATCACGTAAAACATCCCCGTGATACAGAAAGCAGAGCCTCGCAGCTAGCGCGACCACACGCTCTATCAGGGGACGAATGGCTAAGATCCCATCGCAGAGCAGGGGTAACCGCTCTATCACATCAACCAACGTGGGAATAGTTCCTAGAGTATGTAGGACGCTTCTTCGCGCATTTAGGAATAGGTGAACTGCCTTTCTTGTACGGTTAAATATTTAAATATTATATATTTCAGTGCATTATATACAGTATATTACATTTACCAGGAAGATAAAGCCAAAACATTTGCTTAATTCGTCTAAAAGCATGTCTATAAAAGTAATAAACAGCGTTTTTGATACGTCGATAGAATGAAATATTAACGAAGTCTCAAGCATATTGTTTTGATCATATATTGGTACTGAATTACACTTTATTTCACAAATGCTTTACATGGCTCCTTATATATAAGCAAGTACCAGACGGAGAAGTTTTTCTCAAACCTCATATAATAGCTCTTCATTCACGAATCAACGTTTGCATACGCAAACCTAATGCAACAATATCACTGTTGAATGTCACATTTCAATACATATTCGTTGGCAGCCAGAGGTGAACGCACCGAAATTAAATTAAATTAAAGAGGTTGTAATGGTATCCTCTGAAAGAATGGCATGAATATCGTTCCAGTGTACATTACGGTACACATCTGGCTCCCCGGCTATCTCATCGCAACCACCCTCCCTCCCTCCCTCCCTCCCGCTCCATCCTCTATAACTGTTCGTACGTGCGTACTTGTTTGATTACACATAAACTGTGGCTTCAATTTATTAGATGTCTAGCCTGTATTCTTCTTTTGTCAGCACTAAGATTTTTCATTTGAAACAATTGAGAATTTGGAAGCAAGTCAATTAAACCAGTGCATGAAAAGCGTACATGTGTTCCACAAGTTTGAAAAAGAGATAAAGAACTAAATAAGATAAACTCTTCTTTGTTTGCTGACAGTGATATACTATCAGGAGTAGATAATAGGGAGGAGTGTGACATCAATAAACAAGGGAAATTCGTCATTTACTAGCCTTATAATACCTACGATTTACTACACGTAACTCATCCAACTTGAGCTCAAATCGGACACAGTACATTCGCCAATCATCGTGCGAAATCGTTTCCTCGTAGACACCCGCAATCCGGAGATACAGCCTAAAACGTACGACACGATTCTCCATTTTTTTGCCATCAATCCAACGCCATTGCGCGCCTATAATTCAAACAAAAGGCAGCTACCTAACGCGCTATTGCTAATTCAGCGAGGCATGTGGCTCGCTGGGAGATTAGGCATCAACACTCGGCGAGATAACCTTTGACCCGGTACACAGCTACACAGGCCACCTTTGTACATAGCTGGCATGCCTTCACGCACGCACGCCAATCGCATGATTAGCTCGTCGAGTGTTGCGTCGATCTCCAATCTCCCCGCGAGCCACAACGCCACATTCAGCTATCCGATAGAGCAAACACAGCGACTGCGCGGCAGTGTTGCTGCCTTTTGTCTGAATTATAGGTGCGCAATGGCGTTGGATTGATGGCCAAAGAATGGAGACTCGTGTCGTACGTTTTAGGCTGTATCTCCGGATTGCGGGTGTCTACGAGGAAACGATTTCGCACGATGATTGGCGAATGTACTGTGTCCGATTTGAGCTCAGGTTGGATGAGTTACGCGTAGTAAATCGTAGGTATTATAAGGCTAGTAAATGACGAATTTCCCTTGTTTATTGATGTCACACTCCTCCCTATTATCTACTCCTGATACTATGACACACTAGAGAATATAAAAGTACTAGCACAGATAATTAATTACAATAATTAACTGACCATTTTTATGCAACAACGTGCACACCTATTTGTTTTTTACAGAAATAAATTCTTAGTAAAATCAAATTTTTAAAATAAGTCCTGCACACACGCACACGCACGCACACGCACACGCGCACACACACACAAACAATCACACACGTGTGTGCACGCACACACACGCACGCACGCACGAATGCACACACACACAAACACACACACACACATAGCCGCCACACAGAAGCAGATATAACTAGACAGAGGGCACTCACGGAGAGTGCATACCTCCGCGAGCTTGTAACATGTATGTGTATAACAGCTGGCTCGCTGCTGGCTGCTGCTGACTGGACGCCCTAACCCTAACCCTAAGGCGAGCTGCTGCTGAATCGATCGCGCCAACGCTACACACACACACGAACACACACACAAGACCGATTACATGACCTCCGTTGCGCGGAGGTAATAACCACTCACTCTCTCATTCCATTTACAGCACTTCTAGTCTTCACCCAAACACCGCTCGACTGACAGAAACACACACGTACAAACACCGGCGCTAATCGTTCCCGCGATCATCTCGCAGACGTCGCTAACGCGTCCTCTCCTCGTTACTTCTTCTTCTTCAGCTCCTCGAATCGCTTCGTCAGGTCATCGAAATCGATGTCGTCGCCGGAGGTGCCGCCGGCGCCACCTATAGTGCCGCCCGGCTTTGGGAAGCTGTTCATCGGTACGGCTGGGAGGTCAGGGAGCTCGAGGGTGTCATTCACGCTCGGGCTCACACCGCGAGGCGCGGCCTTGGGCGGAGTCGTCGGCAGCGGCGGCTTCTCCTCGCTCTGCGGGGGGTCGGTAACCGAGTTATCGAATATGTCGCTGTAGTTGGGCGAGGGTTCGTCGGGGCGCGGCGGCGACGGAAACGCGTTTTTCGGCGCGGGACAATAGCTGGGCGGGCGAGACGGGTAAGGTGCAGTTGGCGGGTAAAAGCCACCGCTTCCAGCACCCTAATATAGAAACAAAAAAGTAACGCATGCAAATAAACACATGCAAAAAAACAGAAGATAAGAGATGGGTACTGGTAACAGTGTACCGAGTACGGTTATAAAATCGCGAACGAAAAAAAATGACAACGATCAAATTATAGATTATATCGGGAGTGAATAAAAACATTTGTTTTTATTTATTCCTGATTATATATTAGTTATTCACAACCACTTGAATGTTGAATGTAGTTTGTTAAAAGTGGAAACTCTGTGTTAGTTGAGTTACAAGTGACAATAGCAAGATGTGATGAATGAATGCCACACCTACCTGGTCTGGTAAATTGGGATATGCAAACGGTACTACTCCAGGCTGAGGTGCAGGTGGATACATAGGCTGAGGGAAGGAAACTCCCATGGGAGGACCTACCATGCCTCCACCTCCTCCTCCACCTCCACTTCCACCCAGGTCGGGTGGGCCAGGTGGGGGACCTAGGCCACCTTTCCCTCCAAAGTCGATCAGTTGGGATTCGGCTGCGTACACTTCATCCTGGTTCATGACAGTTGGATCGGGTTCATACGGGACGTTATGGCTTCTCGCAATTTCTATTAGGTACCTAAAATATCAAATTATTAATCAAAATCTTAAATATATATGCATTCGGCAGTAGTCTAAACGATTTCGATAAGAGATAGTTGCAACTAATATTTCCAATAAGAAATCTCTTTCGTCACAAACAAATTGAGGTAAAATTTTACATGGTTTTCTGCATCACTCAGACAATATTCACGAACCCAGACGGGGAAAAAAAGCAAATGCACTTGCGCATTCCCCGCACGTTGATACGTCCCCCGATGGGCACCAGTTAACTCGACCCACCAGCCAACTCGGCTCGCATTGTGGCGAGTTTACCTGCCTGAAGGTCGGCCAGCTCGGCTCGTGGGTCAAGATGACCATCCTGGAGGCCAGCTCGACTCACCGGCCAACTCATTTAAGATGTTTTACACATTCCGATGTCAAAACGTCTATTTTTATTAGTATTAAATCTTTATTGCGATTAATTTACATACAAATTCATGTACTGAAAGTAGTCTTTTACATGGAGAACAAATCTGATGGATGCAATTCTGTTGAGCTAAATAATAAAATTTACTTGATTTGAGTGCAATAATTGCAGCAATAATAGTTGCAAGGTACGGTAGGGGATCATTTCTGTCTGGTTTGTTAAGATGGTTGATGTACTTGTATATAAATATAAGTCTGTGGTATTTTTGTGGGCATAACCTTTTATAATGCGTAGAGTATAATTTTGTCACACATGATCAATCTCAATTTTCAATCTCACATGAGTTAGCCGGTGAGTCGAGCTGCCCCATCTCCAGGTGGGTCATCTCGACACACGGGTCGAGTTTGCCGGCGAGGCGAGTTGACTCTGGACCATCCCCGACAGATGAATGAGCACGTACGCACCTTTCTACGAGAAGCTTGGGAGGTGCTTGCACGCCTAGCTTGTGCATGAGCTTCTCACTGACGTGTCCCAGTGAGTTCTCCCTGCATGCCTGTGCGTACGGCTTGCCGTACTTGTGACACAGCTGGTCCGCAATCACCTTCAGTTCCTGGCAGTCGGTCTGCAGCCGAGGGGCGGCCCAAATGATGCTGGAGATAGCCTCCTGCAGACCCTCGTCCACTGTTCTAGAGACAGGTACAAATAGCAATTATCTGACATCTAGAGTCTCTGAATACGCTGCACACCTGTTACATGAGGGCCATTTAACGCAGCTGCCAAATGTGTACGTTACACACAGGTGTCTATTCTTTGTTATTTGTTTTTTTTGTATTAAGTGTTACTCGAGAGAGACAGTACTACTACGAGTGTCCTTTATAAAGAGGTGTCCGCTCCACGGAGTTATTTTCACTGTATAACTCAGACTTGACCAAAATGCCAACTGGTGCCACTTTTATAGACGGATGCTCATTATATAGAGGTTGTTTCACTATATAACTGTGACTCAATCGAAATGCAAAATATGTCGTTTATATAGAGGTGTTTGGTCTATAGATGTGATTGCTAACAGAGGGTTCACTGCACATGGCAAAGTCTGAAGGGATGAGATAATCGCTATATAAACCTCGAACATGTACCTCTTGACAGAATAAAAACAAGGAAAGGAAGCACATCAATATTCAACCCTTGTTTTTTTCACATCCATGTGTAAGATGTGCCAAATTTGGAAAAAATACAATTATCTACAAGAAACTATGCATTGCTAGGATGGTGCGAACTATATGGTCTATGCCCTAGTGCAGAAACCAATCCAGTGGAACTACACCCTGTAGTGCTAACCCATGCCCCCTGTTAAGTTTTATATCTAGGTATTATCACAGAGAAACCGTGCTGTGTAGCCCATATCCAGGCCCCCCGTCTATTTTTATATCTAGATACTAACTCAGTGGAACTAAACCCTATAGTGCTTACCCAGTACCTTATCGAATTTTATAGCTATATACTAACACAGTTAAACCATGCCACGTAGTGGTTACCAAAGTACCATTTTATTTTATTTTTTACATTTCACATTACGCTAGCTTACTTCATCTGTTGTATAAGGCCAAAACGTGCTAAGAGCAGATCACAGTACATCTCGATTAGTTCCATGGCCTCCACGAGATAGTCTTCTCTGACTATGTGCTCCACTCGTATCTTTGCCCGCTCATCTTTGCCACCTGTCAGCACATGACAAATACAATGGTATTAATTGCTGCTCGCAACATGTGCGACTATGTGCCTGTGCACTATAAGATTCAACTAAAAGCAAGGATGTATAGATATCATCATAGCATGAAGACACCATATGCATTTGAGCTTCTATATAATGGTATCAGGACAAATACCCTCCGGACAATTAGCCCCCGGACAATTACCCCCCGGACAATATGACACCAACAATTTACCTGAAAAATCATATGTGTTTTCAAAAAAGTTCTTTGAATACGACGAACGGTTCACAGTTTTCACAAATGAGCGATGCATTCGGCTCATGTTGTATGCGGCGGCAGAACCAGGTTCAGTCTGTAACTACAGGATGCTGGGGCGCTGTTCTGGATATTAGGTAAGACGAGTAACAGCAACTTGTTTCGCTTCCTTATACTCAGGAACACGGATGTCAACGCCAGCTAAAATCAGCTGCTAGCTCGCCGTGAGCACACATTTATTTTTAGACAGCGTGGAAACGCTACACGCTGAATACAATTCTATGCCTAATCTCCCCAGCAGCCCCCAGCGTTCGTCATAGACAATAGAACAGTAAATCCCATAATAACATGCGCCAAAAACATGCGCTCATTTGTGAAACTGGTGGTGAAACCGTGTCGTATTCAAAGAACTTTTTTGAAGAACACATACGATTTTCAGGTAAATTGTGTGTGGTCATATGATTAAGGGAGAATCATAGACAAAACACGGTAAGTTTGAATATATTTATTCAACATATTGAAATCAGATATTACACAAGTATGAAACCTATGCAAAACGCTGTTAAAACGGTGTCATACTCTTCTCTATTATGTACTCTTGATAATTATATATAATAATTACCAGAAGTAGATAATAGGGAAGGAGGTGACTTCAATAAACAAGGGAAATTCGTCATTTACTAGCCTTCAGAATACTTCGATTTACTACGGCGTACCTCAACCAACACTTGAGCTCAAATGGTACACAGTACATTCGGCCTAGCAGTCGTGCGAAATCGTTTCCTCGTCATACACCCGCAATCCGGAGATACAGACTAAAGTATGACACGATTCTCGCCTTCTGTTGCCGCAAACCGAATGCCATAACCGCCTGAACTTGAAATAACTCCTGCGCCCTCGGCAATGTGGTGTGGCTCGCTGGGAGATTGGACATCGACGCAACACTCAGCAGCGAGCTAATCTTTGACACTATTTACAAGCTGGTATGCCCCACACGCAACGGACAGCCCACCGCAATCAGAAGCAGCTCCAGCTCCAATCTCGCCAGCGAGCGCCACACGCATCGCTGC